CCCAGCCCTCTGATCAGGGTAGATGCCACATCAAACTCAAACCCTCTTCTGTGCTCTACCAGCTGGAGCTAGCCCCTGGAACCAGTATCTGTTATCAGGCACTAAGGAGCCTGTACAAGCCATGTGCTTGGGAGACCCAGGTCCAGCAGCAAGGAATCTGGCCCCAGCACGGACATGGGTCCACTCTAGCGAACCTTTTGTCTGTGTTCTACAATCCCAGTCCCCACCCCTCGGGTTATGCAGGGTAGACCTTAGAGCTGAGTCCACGGTCACAGGTCACATGGCCCACTGCCTGTGTGGCACATGTACATCTCTCCAATCTCCAGTCAGGTGTAGGCGCCTCTTGACCTGAGTCTCCCACACCTATCCTGTCTGCAAAACCAGGCAGGCACCTTCACAGCCTCAGCAGCTCAGATTCCCTTGAGAAGACACCAGACACCAGGGACCAACATTTCACACTGGCATTAGAATATGTGCTGAGTGATTATGCACTGGGACCTCAGAGCTTCTGCCCCTATAGCCCCATCCTGCTGAAGCCCCTCTGAGGTCACCTCTGTCCCTAAGCCTCCCCCTTCCCCCTCAGGCCCTGGAAGACAGGCGGGGTCATGTCTGGCCAAAGGCCCTTCAGCAGGCTGGAGCCGGGCCTTCCTCTGTGGCTCCTACAGAGCCCCCTGGGAGCCCAGCATGGATCATTAGATTCTATTAGAATCAAAGAAATGAGTCATATTTGCAAACAAGCTGGGCTCAGCCAATCTTCCTCCATAGCTGTTGGAAGGGGGAGGAGGTGCGGGAAGGGCCGTGCAAGCCCCATGCTCAGGCGGGCAGCCCTTTTATAATTGTTGCCTCTGCTAGTCTCTAGGGAATGGCTGTGGCCAATAAATGGCTGGCCTGTAGTCAAAAGGAAACGATTTGGCCCACTCGGAGGACGTATTTACATCTCCAAGTGCTGACAAGACGGCAGCAGGGTGGCCGGCTGCAAACACACATCCAAGCCATTCTTCTTTGGTTCCCGCCTTGGCAAGGCCTGGTACTTTTCTTGGAAAAGAATTCAGCTTACCTCTGGAAGAGACAGGAAGCTCAGGAGCCATCAGAAAAAGGGAACCAGTCCCAGGCTTGAGTTTTGCCTGAAGGAGTGTGGGACGGTGAGAGGCTGAGCCTCAGTTTCCCCATCAATCAAATGGGCGTAACTAATCCACTCGATGTGAAGTGAACATGTTCATGTGTCAGGTGTTATGATACACACACTCAAAGGCCACCTGTCTACAGAGCTGACTAGCTAGTGGACAAACTATCCAGTCACCAAGTTAGATTTAACACTAAGTGACAACAAAGCCAGGGCTGGAGAAGAGGCAGCAGGAGGGTGTGTGTGTGTGTGTGTGTGTGTGTGTGTGTGTGTGTTGCTTTTGATGGAGGGTGTCCAGGAATGGCTGCCCTCGGTGGGGAAAGCACATCTGCATAGAGACTCAGAGGGGAGTGATCACATGAACAGCAGAACTGTATGGCCCAGGAAACACATCAAAGGCCCTGAGGTTGGGCAGGTGAAAGACGTGGGTAGACTTAACAGCTGTATCCTCAGCATGCCCATGCTTTCCTGTCTGTTATTCCAGTCTCCTCGTCAGGTACCCCCCCTTGCCCCCATTCTTGAAAGTGTCTAGATCTGAGTGGCAAGGGGAATGGGCAGGTCAGGAGGGAGGTGGGAGCCATGGGAGACTGTGGAGCCGTGAAGGGATGTGACCCGACATTTCTGATCATGGGGATGAAAATACAGACAAGAAGGCTGGTGGGGGTGCATGGTGGTGGTTACTGAAGTGGCTATTTAGTGGATGTTTAGGAGGTAGCTACAAGTGGTTTTATGTGACAGCATTCCCTCGATATAGTACTGTACAATTGACTGAAAACGGAATTCACAGCAGTGGGAGACCCAGGGGATCCAGGAGCCCCTGTAAGGTCATGTGGGGTTGTGGGGGTGGTTTCTGGGATGCAGATGACCTGGCTGTTCTAACTTCCATAGTAGCCTCCAGATACCCAGGTCTGCCTGGGTCTCTCTTAGGAGAACCTGATTGACCATCTTGCTCCTTCCATCTCCTAGGGCATTTCTGTGGCAAACTATGTCAAGCCTAGTGGCACATTTGTATAAGTATTCAAGAGGTAGAGGCAACAGAATTAAGAGTTTAAAGCCAGCCTGAGCTGCATGAGACCCTGCCACAAAATTTTTTTTAAATAATGTCTGAAGCTAAAATTACAAACATTTGTTCAGTAAAAAGAACTATGTGCATTGTGGGTCCTGCCAAAGCTCTGTGTGTTGAAGGCAAAAGGGTGTTTTACTCTGTTTCATAATGGGCCTGCCATATGCACAGAGTCCCACCTGCTCTGCTGGCCTGCTTTATCCCTGGGTGCTGTAGAGCCTCATTGGCATATCAAAAACTTGGCATTGGGGTGTCAGCTGTGTGCCCTACAACTGATTGTGCCCTACAGAGGGGCACTCAGGTCACCTCCCAGTGGGCCTGTATCTCTGGGCCCCCACACAAGCAGGAGATGATATTGGGAATGGAGTGACTAGGTCAGAGAAAATCTGCCTTCAAATGCCACTGGGCGTTACCATGAGCCCTTTCGGGGGAACAGCCACCAGCAGCAGAGGAACAAGTGTCTCAGATTTCTTGTGGCCTCTGTAGATATTCAGCTGCCCAGAGCAACTGGGCATGGCCATGCCCAGCAGCAGTGGGCAGTGTTGGGCAGTTGATTTGCCCAGACGGATAGTGGAAACAGGCAGAAGGGGCATTGTGTGGTCTTTGTGGGACTCAGGACTAGCAGAATTGGGCTCTGGAGTTTTTGAAGTGGATTGCTCCAAAGAACAAAAAGACATGGTGGTCTTATGGCTGGGTTCCTTGTCAACATTAACCTAGTGTCTATCTGGGACCTAAGGGCAAGACATTGTTTTGTCCTAGGATGGACAGAGTTAGTGGGAGGGAAGACAGGCTGAAAGTCTCTTCAGTTTGCTGCCCAGAACATCGCCCTAGAAGACACACCTGCAGGCCGGGGAGAAGGCATTTGGGAGGAAGGCACCCTTGAAGTTATAGAGTAGGACAGGAGCTTGAGCCATTTCCCCAAGTGCTGCCATGGCTGGTGCCTGAGCTCTGAATGTTAAATGGGAATCTGCTGACAGGTCCCAGTGCTTGGCAGGGCCCCAAATGGATGTGGGTTGGCAGCCTGCTTCATGGAGATACCCCATGGTACTACCCTGAAGTACCAGGTACTCCCAGCCTGTAGTGCAGAACTGGAAGATATTTTTTTAGCAAGGTACTATTTTCTTTTAAAATCAGACCTGGGTTTTGGTGGAGTTGAATGAGCTTCAGAATCAGGGAAGCCTGGGGTTGCAGAGAGCCCTGTGAGCCACCTGTTAGCTTCGTATGTGTGGACAGGGTTTTCCCCATCTGTGAAATAGGGCCAATGAACTCCACCCCTTGAATTGACTTCAATAAATGGACAGGGCCTAGGCAAGCTGGAGGGACTGAAGGCCTTCGCTTTCTAGTGTTATTAGCACAGACTCTCCCACATACATGGGGCTGTGAGATAATAGGGTACCTGGACATTAGGTTTCATAGCCATCTTGGCGTGAGTGCCTGGTGATGACTTCCTGTGGTACTTTCCCTGCAAGGAGGGCCTGAGTGTAGACCAGTGCACGCACAGAAAAGGCTCGCAAAGATGAGTAAGGATTGGCACTTAGTTCCAACCCAGGCACTGCTGTGTGACCCTGGGTAGGGTTAGTGACTTCTCCCTGGCAGTTATTGGGAAAGCTATCAACCTGCCTCCTCCTTCAAAATGGGGGCCAGGGAGGAAACCAGCACTGCTTAGGCAGCGGCTGGGTGCCTGCAGTCACTACAGTAAGGTGTGTTGGGCCAGCTGCCTCCAGATCCTGTAGGATGTTCTGTGGGTTTCTCACACACCACTGTAGAGAGGGCCCTATGCTCACAGACAGGACCCACCCTACTTCTCTGAGGCTTATAGCTTGGAAAAGATGAAGAAAATGTGCAGGGTTGATTTGCTTTTTTTTTTTTGGAGACAGGATCTGGCTATATAATCTTAGATGATTTGGCACTCACAATCCTGCTGCCTCAGCCCGAGGATTACAGGTGTACACCACCACTCCCTAAGTTGCACTTGGATAAAAGAAAATAAGGCAGGGGGTATTGGGGAAGGGGAGTTATCTTATTTTACAGAGACCGAGACAGAGGACTGGGATGGTTAGATAACTTGCGTAAGGTCAGTAGTTGAACAGAAACTAAGATTTGAACCAAGTGTTTGGCCTATAGTCAACACTGAAGAAGGTTATTATTACACTGATGTATGGGTGTGTATATACTTGTGGAGGTTAGAGGACAACTTGGAGAGGTCAATTCTCTGCTTCCACCATGTGGGTCCTGGGGATTGAACTCACGACATTAGGCTTGACAGCAAGTGCCTTTACCCACTAACACATCTCATCCATCCAATCAGTACTTATTTTACAGATGAGGAATCTGAGGCTTTGGGGCTTTCTACCTGCCAGGCTGGGCTGAACCTAAGTTCATCTGCTGAGGAGTCTGGAATTCCCAGATTCCTTGGTTTACTTTTTGGTCTGAAGATGAACCCAGGGCCGCACACATAGGCAGGCACCCTAGACCTCCCCATCCTCTTGACAAATAGAGACATGACAAACCCCCTCCCCATCCCTTCCCAGGATTTGTGCACATGCAGTGCCTGGGGCAGAGGCTACATCCCAGGTGCCTCTGTGAGATTGGGAGGAAGTACTTTTTTTTTCTTGAAACAAGGCTGTACTCTGTAGTACAGGCTGGCCTCATACCAGAGGTAATCCTCCTGCCTCAGCCTCCTCAGTGCTGAAATGAAGATAATTTTGTTTAATTATGTTGTAGTGCCAGAGATAGAACCCAGGGCCTTGCCTGTGCTGGCTCTGTCATCAAGTGGCCTCCAGCCCCCTGACCTCTTTCTCTCTTTTCCCAAAGGCGCAACGTGCTCAGCCTGTCCCCTGGAATCGACCACCCAGGTGCTCTGAAATGGGACCTAGCACTCTGCCTCCTCCTTGTCTGGTTGGTCTGCTTCTTCTGCATCTGGAAGGGCGTCCGATCCACAGGCAAGGTGAGCTGCACACCTGTCCCCAGCCTCAGGGACAGCCACACAGGCTCTCCTGGCCTTCCTGTTTACAGCGAGCTCTACCCTAAGAGAATGTCCATGTGGGGATACAGGAGTACTCTGAAAGGATGGACATGGCCCGGTGTGGTGGTGTCTGTCACTGGGTGAGGACTCCTGGTGATGTCTCTCTCTCACTGGCAAGGGCCTTAGTGACTTCCTGGCTGGTGGGCAGTCAGGAATTGCCACTGAGCTCCCCTTGATGTCTCCTGATGTGCTGACATCGTAAACAAGGCTAGTAGAGCCAAAGAGCTATCGGCAGATAAGATTTTATTTATTGTTATTTTATGAGTATTTTGCCTACATGTATACAAGTATACTACACGTGTGCCTCGTACTGGCAGAAGCCGGAAGAGGGCATCAGATCCCCTGGAACTGAAGTTAAAAGTAGATGTTAGCTACCATGTGGGTCCTGGAAACTGAACCTGGGTCCTCTGCAAGAGCAGTAAGTGCTCTTATCCACCGAACCATCTCTCTAGCCCCCTCATGTACTCTTTTTGTAAACCCGCTGAGTCCACTTAGTCTGCTGGTATGTGCATAGGTATAAGACTGTCCACCGGAGCATGGGCAGCCTATCAGGGGCCACATACGAAGGAAGGTGACTCTCCCCTCGGCAGCCATCAGTTGCCCATAGTTCCTTGGCTAGGAGTAGACTTGGTGAGCACCCCCGCCCCATCCGTGCTAGAATTTAGTCTGACTTGATTTGTGCCCTCAGTCCCAGCTACTGCGAATTCATGCGTCCAGTAGCCCTGTCATTTTTGCATTCTGCAGAAAAAGCTAGCCAATAGTTAAGTTGCTCACTGTAGCTAAGACGTTCACTAGAGTGTTGGCCCTTATGGGCACATTTGCCATTGAAAAGTTATGTGACACTGACTCGGATGTTTGTGGTAAACCAGTGTGCATTGATAATTACATGTCCCCTGATGAGGACAGTGATGGGCCTGCAGGACTGATGCAGACAATGATCAGAGCATTACCCCTTACCAACTAAAACGGAGCATTCACCACATAACCAAGGGTGGCTGATGTCATGGCTGTTCTGATGAGCAGGGTCCAGGAGGCTATTGTCATTAGAGGCCACACCTGAACCTGGGCACTAAACCATCCTCCCAAGGGACTGGCTGATGGGCCTTAACTACTTGGCAGTTACTTAATTGGCCCCCTCCAGCAGTATCTTTCTCTGCTTGTTTGTAGGTTTTGTTTTGTTGAGACATGGTCTCACTCTGTAGCCCAGGCTGGCCTGAGACTTCTTGCAGTCCTCTTACCCCAGTGTCCCAAGTCCTGGGTTACAGGCATGAACCACTGTGCCTGACTGTCAGTCACATCTTGATGGGGTGTCGCCTTACAATTAAAAAGATCTCCAAGAGCCAAGAGTCTCTTCAGGGCATTGAAAGGTCTTTGTTGTGCAGGAGACACAGGTGTCTGTAGATTGGCTCCTTGGCCAGTACTTGAACTTGCCCTGGACAACGGTCCCTCAGGGGGTTAAATTGTGGGTGTGAACAAGATCCCAGGATAAGTTCAGTCCACTGCTGGGCAGGATCTGGCAGTCCAGGGTTGCAGAGGCTGCAGTGCCCCCGGCCTCTCCTGTGTGCTCTGAGTTGTCATTCTGTCACTGTGACAAACACCAGGTCTCTGTGGCTCATGGTTTTTAAAGGTCCTACTCATTTGATCCCTTTGCTTTGGGGCCTGTGGTAGTGCAGTACATCATGATAGGAGTGAGATACAGGAAAGAAGGGAGGGAGGGAAAAGAGAAAAGAGGGAGCCCTGCATGCAGTGATGTCTACAGTGACCTACCTCATTTCCTCTCTCTAGACCTCATCTCTTAACCTCTCATAGCATCAGGTGGGCTTCAAACCTTCAACACATGGGCTTTGTAGATATTCAACCAAGCTGTAGCACCCCTATGCCTTCTGCCTATTCTCGGCATAGTCCCCTGCCATCCTGAACCCCAGTCTGAAAGGAAGCCAGCCAGGCCTAGACCACCCCATTAGCATTGCTCCGCAGGATGGGTAGGAAGAGAAAACACAGGTGTTCTCTGTCTCCTTAGGGAGCCCTGTCCCTTGTGCTCCCTGCTTCCCTTAAGTCTTGTGAGGAAACTGAGGTTCCAGGAGATCAGGCAGCTTGTCCAAGGCCAGTTCCTCCCGAGTCTGTTTCTTTGACTGTTAGATGGTGGGTGTGAGAGTTGAGATGAGAAGTATGTTAAACACCTAGCTGACTTGCCGCCACTGTTGAATGAACCCTCTGCCTCAGTTTCCCCACACAGAAGCGAATCTGTCAGGGTTTCTGTGGAGCGCTGGTGCTGAGCATGCTGGAAAGGATCAGTCATGATTGCTGGTACACCAATGTGCTGTGTGTGGGTCCTGTTGTAGGAATGGGACTTAGGGATCCACAAAATCCAGGCACTTGTGGCTAGGTAGGGAGAGCTGGGTGGCATCAGGATTCGGGTGGAACACAAGTAGGAATTGATGGTGACAAGAGTGACAGGAAAGGGGAAAGGAATGTGGGGTCATTTTAAATAGGATGGTGAGGCTCTAGTCACTGAGACTGAGAAAAGGAGGGAAGGGAGCGGAGAGTTGGGTATCTGCAAAGACCCTGAAGTACATCTGGCCAGGACATAGGGATCCCCGAGTCTAATGGAGAAGGCTGATGTCCACCAGGCACAGCCAGCAACAATTGAGAAAACACAGCACAGAGGGGACAGAGCCAAGGCCAAACCAAGGGTGCCAAGGCTGCAGCTGTGGTCCTGTGCAAATGTGACTAGCCAGATGGACCCCTGCTCACCCTGAGCAACACCCTGCTCCAGGGGGCAAACTTGGTTCCCAGAACAATAGCTGGCCAGAGAAGCCAAGACAAACAGCTCTGTGGACTTCCTCCAGTTCAGTGCTAAGCAGCCCTCAGAGGCCATCTGCCTGCAGCCGCCTACCCACTGGCCAGCCTCAGCTTCCAGCCAGCTGTCGGGGAGTCTAGGCTGAAGATGGCCCTCATCCTGGCCAGGCCTGCTTCTGTGGCTGACATAATTCAGAAGAGGGGAAGCGATGGGTGGAGGCCTGGGTCCCAGAGGATCAGAACCTGAGTTCAAGCACTTGGCTCCCTAAGCTACAGTTCCTTTCCTATCTTTCCTGATTCTCCAAGGGACTGAACTAGGTCCTAGAATCAGCCTCGGCTTAATTGATTCAACAAGTTGTGATGGTGGTGATTGCCGTGTAGCTGAGGTATCCAGCCCCAGCTTTCAGTGCTGGGCAGCAGCTTACTTAATCCTCTTGATGTTCTCCGGTCCATACAGTTAGTAGTCTCATTTTATAGATGGGGAAAATGGAGGTCCAGAGAGATCAATTAATTTTCCTAATACTACACTGTGTTCAGTGGCCAAGCTGGGATTTGGACTTGGGATGCTCCCTTCTCCTACCTCTCAGCCTCATCTGTGGGCATAGTAAGTGGGACAGAAGCCAGGTATGACCCTGCTGTCACGGGGACAGACTTCAGTGCTCACCCAGGAAGGGCCTGGCCATGTGCTGTGCCTGGGTCTATAGTCAGGAACAAAGCTGGATGGGCCCAGAACTGAGTTGGGGCCTCAGCTCTGCTCTCACTTGTTTGGCCTCAGTTTCCCCTGGTGTAAAGGCAGTGATTCTCCCCCTCCCCGTGGGTCTGATAACCCCTCTTGCCACGCAACCTCCCAGAGAAAACTGAAACAGCAGGATGCTAAAAGCTTCTTTAGGGCACAGGAAGAGGTGTCCTGCAAACCTCCATTTTCTACAGGGCTTCTGGGCTCTGGGCTCAGACTAATCACAGAGGATCACTGGCAAGAGTGGAAAAATACCACATCCCACAGCAAGGCCTTCTGGGCCACTGCCAGGGGCCCATGGTGGCGCCTGGCACCAGCTTCTCCCTCCAGGATCCCAGGGGACAGTCACGGAAAAGTTGAAAGAATGGCTCTCAGGCTGGTCCATGGAGCAGCAGAGAATGCAAAACAAGGGTGGCTTTCTAGAAAGTCAGCTGGGGTAGTGTGATGGAGATGGGGGGATGAGAAACAACAATGGTACTCCCCAAAGATGTGGGCTCCCCCGAAGCAGTTGCCTAGATCAGTTCCTGTCTCTGATACCTACTAACTGGGGATACCTACTAACAGGCAGGTGATGCTGGCCAGTGTGAGCCTCAGTTGCTTCATGTGGAAAGGGTAGGCCCTGGTACTGAGCTATGCCAGAGTGTAGTGAGGATTGAATGAGTTCACATGCACAAAGCACCGTGTCAGGCTCACAGTAAGCACTTCACAAGTGCTTATTAAAGAGGCAAGCAAGGGAAGCTTCCACGGCCCCTGTGCCCCCATGGTTCTGGCTGCAGTCTGCTTGCTTTAAAGCTGAGACCCTCTAGGGACCTTCACGTGGCTCTTGTCTGTGGCTATTGTTCACCAGCTTGGGTGTGGCCTCTCAGAGCCCCAGAGTGGGGGGGACCTGGCCAGGAGTGCCTGCTTGCCTGTCCACAAGAAGAGAGGGGACAGGGGATGGGTGGATTTTCTTCTTTTACCCTTTCTGTGGATTCCTGACTGGCTATCACCCTGCATGTCTGACTGGGGACACTGAGGCCTAAAAGAAGGGTGGGTGGATGGATGGCAGGCTGGAAAAGGGTCTCCTTTGGCCCTACGGGATGTCATCATGGCCTGGGTTGCTAAGTGCTCTTGAACACTCACTGCAGGCCCTGGCTGAGGGTAAGTCAGAGCTCCCCTTGAAACTAAGTGATTGTTGCCAGCCAGGAAGTAGCACAGGCCAGTGACACTCCAGCTGACCCTCTGGGCCAGTCTCCCTTCTTAACCTGTATCCTTAGAGCTAGGAACCTCAGCTCATTCAGTCCAAGGCCTTCACCTTGAGATGGGGAAACCAAGTCCAGAGAGGGACAGTGACTGACAGCCACCAGGCACTGCAATCCAGTTTCTCTCCAAGGGGCTTGCCTCCTACCCCGGGTGCAGACCTCTCTCAGGTCTTCTGCCTGTTGTAAAGGCCAGCTGCTATGCAATGTTGTGACTAGCCAGCTTGTGGGACAGGAAAAGAGGGCGTTGCCAGTCTCCACCTTATACCTGACTCTGGCCTGTTGGGACACACAGTGTGACCCAGGGAAGGCCGTGGGTCTCCTGCAGGCCAGGAAAGTGCTAGACTGTCCCTGTTCTGGCCAAAAATCTTAGAAAGTTCCCACCTACCTCCCAAGTCACTGTCAGTGAGGCAGTGTGTCTGTACAGCCATGTGCTGTCAAGTTTCATTAAGCAGAGAGTCCTCATCCTGTCCTTTGAGGGGGCTGCAGTGACCAAGACCCAGAGAGGGTAAACAGCATGCTCAGCGTCCCTCAGCAAGTGGAGTCACAGAGCTGGAGCCGAACCCCCATTTGTCTCAGGCAGGCCTCAAACTTGTAGTCCTGCCTGGCTTCCTGAGGGCTAGGGTGACAAGTATATGCTGCCATGCCTGGCTCTGTCTGATTCTTTTTGTTGTTGTTTTGGGTTTTTCTTTTTGGTTGTTGTTATTGTTTTGGTTTGGTTTTTTGAGACAGTGTCTCTCTGTAGCCCCAGTTGACCTGGAACTCACTATGTAGATAAGGCTGACCTCAATTTCAGAGATCTGCCTGCCTCTGCCTTCTGAGTACTGAGATTAAAGGTGCACCACCCTACCTGACTCTGTCTGATTCTTAACTCCCCCTTAATACTGCCAGCCGATATGTCCTGAGCCCCATGTGGCAGTCACCTGGCTGAGCCATTGCATACATACTTGGTGATCTAGTCTCAATTTCTGTATTTTGTCCCAGAGTGTCAGTTCCTCTAAGGCAGGGATCTGTTTTCTATCTTGTCTGCTATTATGTTCTGGGCTTAGATAGGTTATAATAAACATAATTATTAAATTTAATCTATAAGGTAGACTCTTGAGTCATACTTAGGTGCGGTGACAGAGGCTCAGAGAGGTTAAGTGAAACCAGAAGTTCACACAGCAGGTGCGACTGCAAGCGTCCCTCCAGAGGCCCTGCAGAGAGGGCGCTTGACTTGTACAGCAGTGAGTTACTCACAAGCCCACCTGACTCCCTCTTGCCCCCACAGGTTGTCTACTTCACCGCCACTTTCCCATTTGCTATGCTTCTGGTACTGCTGGTTCGTGGCCTGACGCTGCCAGGCGCTGGCGCGGGCATCAAGTTCTACCTGTACCCTAATATCACCCGACTTGAGGACCCACAGGTATGGTGGGGTGGCCCATCCCAAGGCCACTTCTGTATAGGCAGGTAGGGTGGGGCTGCAGCTGCCAGCACATTTCCTGTGGTTGTTTGGTGCCCACGACTAACTGACCATCATCCCCTGGTACTTTTCCACTGGGCCTGCTGTGGCTTATGGCTCTTCTGAGCTGTGTCTCTTTTCAAGGACTCCTGAGGGGGCTGTTACAGAGTCTGCCTCAGGCATGGCACCAGGTAAGGGCGGGTCTTTGAAGCACTGGTCTCCCCCTTATGGGGGGCTCCTGCTTCTGCTGGAGCCTGAGACTTGGGGCTCAGGACAGCATCCTTAGCTGAGGGTGGGACATGGAATTGACGACTGCCTGGTAGGCCAAGGGGAACACATGTAAGTCCCCTGTCCCAGCTCATAGCCAGAGGCCTCAGGAGTTGGTGAAACCCAGGAGACTTTTGTGGTGCCCTTTGAGACCTTCGCCCCCCAGATCCCTAACTTTCCCATTGCCTCCCAGGGGTCAGTGTTTCTGGGTCTCCTTCTACTCTGCTCTGGGCAGAGCAGGGTTGGTGGCCAGCCTGAGAGCCCAACTGGGAAGTTAGGCATGCTGACATCTAGAGCTACTTAGGATAGGGAAGCCGTAGTGTCTGGAGATTCATAGAGGACACCTCCTATTCTAACTCCTGTCCCCAGCTCAGCCATTAAAGTCATCAAAGCAGCCTTAACCTAGGAGTTAACTGTGCTGAATTCTTAATTCTCCAAGTGTGGAAAACAGCTCTGTGGGGTGGGCTATTAGGGCCCACACTTAGAAACTGAAGCTCTTAACTGATGCAGGAGAAGAGGGAGAAGGGGACATCCAGCTCTGTTTTCTGGAAATCCTTACAGCTCAGCAACATCTCAAAAGGGACCGTGAATTCCAACATAGACATTGCCATGGCCAGTCAATAGTCTTCACATTGCAAGGCCCCCTGTGCTGACCTGGTGGCCCAGAACCCTTGTTGCCTGCTCCAGGAAGTCACCCTAACACACCTTCTCCTGCCGCCCTCCCCTCCCTCTTAGGTGTGGATCGACGCCGGGACCCAGATTTTTTTCTCCTATGCCATCTGCCTGGGGGCCATGACCTCACTGGGGAGCTACAATAAGTACAAGTACAACTCGTACAGGCAAGTGTTGCGCCAGCGGGCCCGGTGAACGATAGAAGTGATGATTAAAGAAAAGAGAGAAATAGGGAGCGTGGCTTCCTTGTGTTGTGAATTAACCTGCTCCCTGACGTATGTGTAACTTAGGGACTGTATGCTGCTGGGATGCCTGAACAGTGGTACCAGTTTTGTGTCTGGCTTCGCAATTTTTTCCATCCTGGGCTTCATGGCACAAGAGCAAGGGGTGGACATTGCTGATGTGGCTGAGTCAGGTACGGTGGTGTTGGTGGCAGTGGTGGTGGGCACTGCCACCTAGTGTGTAAGATGAGTACTGCAGGCATGAAGCCAGACCCCAGGGGGATTGGGAGGAACCTGGCTTATATAAACTTCCCCTCCCCCCACACACCACAGAGTGCAAAGGCTACATTTGAAAGTTGTCCTAGCCCAGGGATACAGTCACTGCATCCCAGCCCAGGAGACAGCAGGAATGAGGGCGGCTGAGATGGGACTCAGTGGCTGTTTCAGTGTTGTCTCCTCACCCACCCACCCCCCAACCCATCTCCAGCAACTGCTGGTTTTAGCAGTGGAGGCTGCTTTCCTACCTCAGGCCCTGGCCAGCCACATCCACCACGCCATGCCAGTGCCGGTGTCTCAGCTTTTGGGTTTCTGCAGTTTGCACTTTGTACCTGTGTACCAGGCCTCTCTGTCAGCCTTCACAGTCACCAGTGAGGGGACAGTGGAGCAGTGGAGGAACACCACCCAGGGGACAAGGACGGAGTTGATTTGGGGGTAGGGTGCGAGGACACTGCCATCCCTGGGGAATGGGACGGGGGGGCTGTTGGTCTCTTGCTGCTCCTCAGGACACCTAGAGTCACAGAGTGGTTGGTCAGTCATGAGCTCTGCACAGGGTAGGACCTTCCTCAGGAACCCGGGGCCTTAGAGTTCTAGCAAAGATGGTCTGAAACCTGGACTAGAATCCTAGCACCTGCCACGGGGTCTGGGTTTGAGGACTTGGCTGTGACCACTTACAGTCCTGGGCCTAAACCTTAGATCTGCAATGGCTGGGGTACTGGACTGGAGGCTACCTCTCCACTGAGTTCCCTTAGAGGCTAGTCATCAGTTGTCTGATCTGACCTCTGATTTCTCACAGCTCCTTGGGAACTGCCTGGAGGCTGGTAAGGGCCCTGGGCCAGGGTTCCCTTCAAGCTGAGGGGGACAGACTGTACATCATCATGCTAGGGGTTCTGTAGACCAGGAGCAAGCACCCTAACTCCCTGCCATTGCCCTTGGCCTTGGCTTTATTGTGTTTGAATTATAAGGCCATGTCCCAGTTTCCCAGACCTGAACCCTGGTGTTGAAGGTTCAGAGGGTGCCTGAGCATTGTTCCTCCAACATTTATGTCTCATAAGATCAGGGGTCCCAAACCAAGGGCCTCTGGACACTGGACTTCACTCCACCCACTGCATACCTGGCAAGTCCTCTAATGTGGCCTTTTCCTTCTCCCCACTGGCTCCTCTGACCTCAGGGACATAGTGTGGCATGAATGACCACTGGTGAATCCATAGCACACACATGCCTATTTCCCTGTGTCCCAGTTGTATCCTCAGAAAAACTATTTGCCCACCCTCAGGACCTCCAAAGTCAGAGCAGGGAATGAGGGCACAAGAACTTTTCAGAAATATTATAGCCTCCAGGTGGGAGTCAGTAGTTTGCATGGCGAGGAGCCCAGCATCCTCTGCTAAGAGCTTCCTTCCCACAGTGCACTTGTGAGGTGATTCCAAACCATTGCTTGGGAGTCACCTAGAGCACAAAGAGAAGACTTCAGGAGAGAAAGCTGGGGGTGCCTTGAGGAAATCTTTATGGACAGCAGGCACCTTCGTGCCATATGTGTGGGCAGCCCAAGTTGTCTTGTCTGTCCACTTCACAGACCTTGTCAATCCTTCCCCACAATGATGTCTGAACAGCAAGGGTGACGCTGTCTCTAAGGAGCTTTTTAACAAGTACCCTATCAAGTGAAAAGGGCATTTGAATGAGGTATTACACAGCCAAGGGGAGGCCAAATGAGATATGTGCTAGCGAGGTGTCCAGAGCAGTCTGGGTGTTCTGGGCTTTTCTCCCCCCAAGTTCACTGTGTGCTTTAGAAAAGGGTGCTTGGTCTATCTCCCAAGGCTGGCTTGAAAAAGTCTAAAGTGAAGGACAGAAATGAGCAGATTGGGACTTCTCACAGCACCCTGAGGGGATACTCCACCTCATTCTTGAAGAGGCAGAGCTGTGGGCTTTAGGGGGACCAGCATGGTCCCACCTAAGCGGACATGCCGTAGCTTTTGATTCTAAGCTTGGTTTACCATGTCCTGGATGAGAGGCATGTTTTCTGTGCCAACCCTCACCCCTTGCCCTTGCTCATTTAAGCAGCTTCGGGCTTGGTAAGCACCCCGCCCCTACCCCTCCTCATCCTGATCCACTGACAGAATCATATAGTATCACTGTGACCAACCACTCAGTGGCTGCCCCAGGTCATTTTGGTTGGCTTTCTCAGGCTGAGTAGATGGCATTGTAAAAAAGACTCGCCCTCTCCCGCTGTGGTTGGGGTTGCTAATGCTTCATAGTGTGACTTCTGGTTCCAGTCTCTTACTAAATTAATTTATTTTGGTGGATTTTTTTTTTATTAAGTGATTCACTCAGTTTTGATATTTGCTTTAAAGTCTAAACATCTGTGCCTCCTGCTGTCTGGCCTGTATTTCTTCTTGATTGGTTTGTTTTTTTTTTTTCTTTAGTTGTTGATCTCACTTCAACTTTTCAGGCCAGGCCCTTGGGACCTGCTCTTTCTTGAAGAGCCCACAAGTATCAGCTAGCTAGTCTTTCCCCACCCCCCACATCGGCTTTGGGGGTTTTTGGAGGCAAGAGGAGACAATTGTGTCCAAGTGACTCTGTGAAAGGCACCCAGAGTGTCCCCCTGTGCCTCTAGGTCTGGTCAGCACCCCTTTGCTAAGAGGCCTATAGCTCTTTTGTGGGCCCATTTCTGAAAATCTGAACGTAAAGGTCCCTGGAGTCACCTGCCCCTCCCTTTTCAGGTGGTGGGTAACTGAGGAACACAGGAAGTTGTGGATGAGAACTAGGATGTGGCTGCAGTCTCCTAGGCCTGGGGTCCGGTCCTGCCCCAAGCTGCCTCCCTTCAGTGCTAGACCTGGCTGGTTCTACCTTGCCTTGTGGCCAGACTTGGGTGCCTGTGGGGGACGGGTTCCACAGGCATGCCCCTGCAGGGCTGTTTGCCCTACAAGGCGTGGTTCTAGAGTCGTTTTTTCTTTCCACTTAAACAATGTTTTAGCTATTAACTCAGAAATAGAAACCTTTCTTTGCAAAGGAGGGCCTCACTCATCAGCTAGCCAGAACTTTCCTCTGGTTTCCTTCCAGCCAGTGTCAATGGGCAACTTTGGTGTGAGAGGGGTGGGGTCCTCCGTTTCCTGAGTCTCAGGCTGCCTGAGCTCCAGTCTCAATCCTGAATTCTGCCACTAGGAACCCATGCTGTATGGGTTCAGATTGACCTGGGAGGAGGCCGTGTGCCGGTAGATGTTTACATGGGGCCCCTCCCAAGCCCCTTGTCTCTTTCCCTGGCTCCTCCTGCATTTTGGGCTTAGGTGACCCTCTTCCCTCGGATGTGAATGTCATGTGAGGCCCAGGCTTCTGTGTGGTATGGTGCTGATGTGTCATCCTGTGTCCCCTCCCCATTTCTCTCCCTTAGGTCCTGGCCTGGCCTTCATTGCCTACCCCAAAGCTGTAACCATGATGCCACTCCCCACATTTTGGTCCATTCTGTTTTTTATTATGCTTCTCTTGCTTGGACTGGACAGCCAGGTACGTGTATGTGGGGCTGTGACACCCATGTAGGAAGCCAAATTGTGGGGAGTCCTCCTGATTGGAGCTGTGTAGTGTTCAGATCCTTCTCCCTCAGCCCCGACCTCTGACTTCGGCCTACCAGGATCCATCCAGGGGCCTCAGGTGGGCAAAGGACCTGGGCACAGCAAGGGGATGAGGGTGACTGGAGTATGGTTAGGTCAAGCCATAAATGAGAATAGAAGGTCAAGCCCCCGAAGGTACAAATGCCAGCACTTGTGTCAATCATTGTCCAGGCCACCACAGTCCACACTCAGCACACTGCTCCCTGGGGGTTCAGACTTGCCTTCTTCCTCTGTAACATCTACCCTATCTACACTTTTTTTTTTTTGTTCCCGTAATAACCTATTGTATATGTTTGTGCTCCGTGACTACCTGTTTCTAATCTCACCTTCAGTTTGTTGTATGTTACCTTGGCCCTATCTACACTTTTATTTTATTTTTTTAGAAGAAAACCAGGGGCTCACGTGCTAAGCATGCACTGTACTCTGAGCTATATCCCAGTCCCTTTCCTGTGTTTTTGAACCCCACATCCTGCCCACCACCACCCAGGGCTTCATGAGAGGCAGGTCACTGCTGTGGTGTGTTGGTGGCAGCCAACAAATTGCTGCATCTGTTTTGGGAGAAACATAAATTGTGTGACACTAGCCACATCTCCTCTGAGCCTCAGTTTCCTCATTCTGACTAATGGGTATGACTGCTGAGTACAGAACGTCAGGTGCCTGCACAATTCACAGGAGCTCAGGGCCCTGTTCCTTGAAATGGGTGTGTTTTGAAGGAACACCTGTTCCTTGAAATGGCCTTTTTGAAGGAAAAATGGCCTTTTGAAGGAAAGGGACTGTGGAGTACAGGGCAAGTGGTTGTGGTCCTAGGTCAAGTAGAGATGAAGAACACAAGAGTCTCCCGTGTGGCCTGGGTCTATAGGCCCAGCTGCCTCAGGAAAGTTCAGTCAAACAGACTACTTGTGAGGTCAAGTCTGGAGACTCCTTGTTGTCCCTCTGAATGCGCACAGCCTCTGAAGGCCCTGACCAAGATGGGTCCCTGGAGACTCAGAAGTAAGCAGACGTGAGTCCGGGAAGAAGAGGCAGCTCGCAAGGTCACAGTGGGAGATTTGGCAGCCAAGAGAAGCCAGATTAGTAGAGAAGACAGAAAGACTGCAAGAGCCAGAAAAATCAAATGCTTGTGCAGTTGTTGATGGACTGATGCTGTGTAAACAACAAGCAAATTCTGTTAATTATTCCCATCCGAGAGCTTGGCCCTGGGAATGGGCCCCATGCAGTGACTTTTAGTGGCTTTTAGAAGATCTTCTAGAGCTGTGAGGGGAAAAGAAAACAAAAACAGGTTAATAAGTGGCAAGGCGTGACATCTTCATGGCCCCAAACAGGCCACTCAGGCTCATCCTCTGTAGGATACAGGCTCTCACCAGGGCCATAGGCTAGGCAGAGAATCTTGGGAGCTGTGAAAGCTGGTCTTGGGGTCTTCCTCCTTAGCCTGCTTTGTAGAGTGGGGTGCCCAGGGCTTGGTGCTTAAATGGCCTGCTGGTATCACTCAGCCATGGGTGAGGAAGGAAACAGAACATCACCAGCCTTCCAGACCTAGTTCCTAGAACCTGGGACAATGGGGTGGCTCCACAGAGAGCCCCACTGTGCAAGGTGCCACCAAGTGCCAGATGCCATGTTGACCACTTTTCCATGTACAATTGATCAGCATTGAATGTGTCTAATGTCCTGAAGCCATCATCACCTCTGTCCCCAGAACTTTTCCAGCCTCCCAAGCTGAGGCTGCGCCCCATTCAAGCACTAGCTCCCCCTACCCTACACGCAGTTTTCTTTTTCTGTGATGCTAGGGATGGAACCCAGGGCCTTGTATACACTAGACACTGTTCTATCACTAAGCTGTACCCAAGCCCACTGTACCCAGATTTTTACATATTAGCTCTGGACCCTGGATGTTAGTTACCCTTTCTGAAGCCAGGGGATCTAAGTCTTAGGGAGGCTTATCTTGGCCCTGACTCTTAGCAGCGCTGGGTCTTTCTGTCTCTAACGTCCCCATTTCAAAAGAAGAAAACCTTTCATTTTAACTCTTTTGTAGCTTTGCAACCATGGATTTATTATAATTCAGTTGCTTTTCAGGTTCAAATCCCCTTTGGCTGAGGCACATCAGTCAGAAATCAGAAAGTTCACCTCTCCTCTCAGGGAGAGGCCTCTTGGTCACCTTTCCCCCAAACTCCATTCGGGGGACTTCTTGCATTCCCTGAGTCCTGGCTGCAGAGTGCTGTCCCTTCAGCCCCTTCTGGCACCTGAAGGTTGTGTCCTTTATCCTCCCACACCACCTCCCAGAGCCCTTGGTGGTTGGATCTGTCTCACAGGAATGTTGGGCAGCTGCTATCCCCAGAGCCTGTCCCAGATGAAGCTACAGGTGCTGGGCTTTTTAGCAGCTTGACTTTTTTTTGTCTGTTTCAAGACAGCATTTCGTATAGCCCAGGCTCGATGAATTCACTTTACTTCTGTTCCTCTGACCTCCACCTTTGAGTGCTGGGATTATAGGTGTGCACCCAGCATGCCTGGTTCATGCAGTACTGAGGATTGAACCAAAGGCCTTGTGCATGTCAGGCAGGATTCTACTAGCTGGGCTACAGCCCCAGCCCTTAGCATCTCCATCTTTAAAGGACTCAGGTGGGCCTCAGAGTGGTTTGGATGTAACTGTTCCAGTTTAAATGCTTCTGTGGCCCTTGGACCTCAAGATACTGCCAAGACCTTATTCCAGACTTGTGCATTTGTGCCCAAAGACTGGAGGTGGCAGGAAAGTTGTTGCTCATGGCATTGGTTAGGTGAAAGGTGACACATGTCCAAAGGGTATAGTTTGATGCTGCTGCTTAAAAAGCAAGGTAAGGGTTAAAGAAATGGCTCAGTGGTTAAGAGCACTGGCTGCTCTTGCAGAGGACCCAGGTTCAGTTCCCAGCACCCACATGGCAGCTAACAACCATTCCTAACTCTATTTCCAGGGGATCCAACACCTTCTTCTGGTTTCCACAGACACTGCACGACACGGGTGCATTTACATACATGCAAGCATAACACTCATACACTTAAAAATAAATAAATAAAAATTAAAAAATAAAATAAAAGTCAAGGTGGCTCCTTGTGTAGGGACTTGGTACAGTCTTCAAGGTAAACTGTTAGACACAGAGCTGGGAGGATTGGGAAAGACTAAGAATCATCCTAGAGCACAATGGGGTAGTGGGGGCAGGTGTTCCAGAATCTTCTTTCTGACATCCAGAGCCCGCAGATGGATTCCTGGATTGCATGGCTTATATATCCAGACATGCGTGTTACACCTGGAATACACAAAGTGCTGCTAAGGGCCTGTGAATTCCAGTGGGTTAAAAATCACCATGGGCATCAAACCTGAAATGCCTTCCATGCTGTGGATGGGGCAAATGAAGCCAGGATTTGCTGAGTACCCCCGCTGGTTAGTGCAGAGGTCCATTCACACATCATGCTTTAATCAAGAATCCCCTGAGTGGCTGGGCTGGGCATTCATCACCTCAATGTGTATGGTACTACCCTTGACCAAAGGGGGAGACTGTCATGGCTACACACATGTGCTTCCTAGGAAAGCAGCTGCTCTTGAGTGAGTCTTGGGTGATGAAGGAAATAGCCTGCATAAAGGCCACATTACACAGGGACTATAGCAGCAGCTACACAGCCTAGGGTCTGATTCCAACATATGATAGACAAGTGTCATGAGACATAGCCCAGGAGACATAAGGTCAGCGCTTCTACTCCTGTGTTGTGTCATACAAGCCCAAGCACCACATCTGAGCACCAGGCCAGTACTGGGCATCCCCTCATGTTCATTCTCTCTCTCCCTCCCCATCCCTCTCAGTTTGTTGAAGTCGAAGGACAGATCACATCCTTGGTTGATCTTTACCCGTCCTTCCTAAGGAAGGGTTATCGTCGGGAAATCTTCATCGCCATCGTGTGTAGCATCAGCTACCTGCTGGGGCTGACGATGGTGACAGAGGTAGGTGACTGTTACCTTAGGCCTTCCCTTTCTTGTTAAGGATTTGATGCTCTGCCACGTCAGGGCCAGGAGCCTGGGGAGGGCACCTCTCACTGTATCCCCTTCAAGGACAGCCCAAATCTGTTCACCTCTCAAATGACCACCCACCTTTCCTTGCACCCCCTTTTTGAGTTGCTGTCTCCCGGAGGGCCTGGCACATGCCAGGGCATACGCTATTCACATAGGACAGCCATCATACTTCAAAATCAAAGAAGCCCAGAGGGAAAGGGAACTGGAAGGTCAAGGGCCTGAGGCAGCAGTGGCTGGACTTGTCTAGCCAGAGAAAGGATAGATAAGAGCCTGAGAAGTCTGACACACATACACCCCCAGTCCCCCCAGTGCATGCTCTCCTGCCCCCAGCACTTAATCTAGGAAAAGATTATCTCTCAGGCCTTCGCCACTTTTCCTTAACAGAAGGAGGAAATTTTTTTTGGAAGTGCTTTTTAAGGAAATAAAATCCCCTAAAAGTCAGAGCGCATCTCTTGCTGAGCAGCTGGTTTCCCTGGACTCAGCTACACTTGAAAGATTTCCTTTGTGTGCAGACTTCTGTAACCCTTTGTGTTGTTGCTAAACCATGTTTTCCTCCCCACCCCCATGTGTTTTGATTTGTCAAACTCGAAGTTGAACATCTTTTGAGATTTTTTTGTTTTTTTTTAATAGGGGCTTACACTGTAGCCCAGCTGGACTTGAACTCCTAACAGTTCTCCTACCTCAGCCTCCTGAGTTATTGTGAGTCACTACCCCTGGCCCTAAATATCTTTTTTTTTAATAGATGTATCTGGCCATCCTAGCTTTTGCCCATTTTAAAAAATTTCTTGTTGTTTTGCCAGAGCTCTTTGTATATGAAGGTAATCAGAACTCATATAACAAATTAACCACTGTTTTGGTTTTTTTTTTTCCTTCACAGGGTGGCATGTATGTGTTTCAACTCTTTGACTACTATGCAGCTAGCGGTGTATGCCTTTTGTGGGTTGCATTCTTTGAATGTTTTGTTATTGCCTGGATATATGGTGAGTATAGATATTGGTACATCCTTTCTCAAGTCGCTCCTTTGGTCTCTGCATTAAAGACTTGGGTGCAGAGAATTTAACAGGAAAGCTTTTCTTGCCTAGAATGTTCACTGGGGATGCCTCCACTAGCCACATCACAGATAATTCCAGTACTGAAGGCACAACGTGTGAACGTGTTTCTACAAATATGTTGTCATGCCAGAGTCTGTGACCCAGCAGTCATCTGTTATGACCTCTCAGATTGCCAGGGTTTACCACACTAGGATGTAGACTCTACCTAAGGTTTCTAACAAAAATGCACAGGCCCAGCTGCATTTGAGTTTCAGGCTCTCTTAGAAACACATTGCCATGCTTGCTGTGGAGATACTAGGATGGTTAGAGTCCCCTTTATGATCCTCATGACCCCTGCTGCATTGTACCTAGGGCCATGCTAGCTTTGGCCCCTGTGCCATCAGGTACCCACTACTTCTCTTACAGGCGGTGATAACTTCTATGACGGTATTGAGGACATGATTGGCTATCGGCCTGGGCCCTGGATGAAGTACAGCTGGGCTGTCATCACTCCAGTTCTCTGTGTTGTAAGTTCTGCCTTTGGGCACTTCCACCTTGTGTGTCTGTCAGTATCTGCTGGATGTGAGCCCTGATAAACCCAGTACTTAGGCGAGTAGGGGCTGGTTGCTCTGGGTTGCCTTGGTTAAGCAGGGTTTATGAAGGACCAGCAGGAGTTTGTGAGGCAGAGGAAACAAGGGCATTCCTGTTAAAGGAACCAGTGTGTATCTAGTGTGTATAATCCTGAGGACCCATGAGTGCATTGCTTTTTCACAATTGCTTCTGGAGCTCTCAAGCTCAGTGCAGATCACTGGGTAAGCCACATGCCTTTGGGGTATCAAGTAAAATGGTCGTATGCTCCAGCGTTTCTGTGGTGGGGTGGAGGTAGGGGCTGAGAGGACAGTCATAATAGGGATGCTCTAAGATCTCCCAGGGATAAGGATCTTCATAACAAGAGCCCAGGTCTTAAGGACACTCAGTCAGGCTATCCTCCCCTGCCACATGACTGTTCAGAGCCAATGCACCAGGGAGCCTAGTGTATAGGAAATCCCACCTGCACTGCTGTTCTTGGCCAGCACCTCAGGGAGTCCAGATGTCGTTTATGTGAGAATCAGTGCTAAGGGGTTAATGTGTCCCCTCCTCCATGGCCTCTACTCCTAGGCCGGAACAAGTCAACAGGCTGACTCACTTCCCTATCTGGGCCTCAGTTTCCCCACCTTTATAACAAGGACACCCCAAAATGGGATTTGCGTGGCATGTGATAGTCTAGAAGTCAATGAGTATGTTGCAGCTCCTGCCATGCATATCCTCACTAAAGTCAAAAGGCCTTGAACGGCGGCTGGTGGCCCGCCCCAGGCAGAAAGTGCCAGAAGAAGGCAGGGCCCTGTGGACTGCAAGTCCCTTGCCTTCACCCTGCACCACCGTCTCCTGTGAAACCCAGTTGTCCGGAAGAGTTGACTGTTTTCACCTGTGTCATCCCTGGGGGTGCCTCAACTGAAGAGGAAGAGAGAGTGAAGGCAGCCCTCAGAGCCACTCTCAAAGGCAAAGCTTTGCATAGACTTTGGCTTCAAGCCTTGACCCCCTGCCATTCAAGAGCCAGGATTAGGTCTATGCCCTGTCATTGGGGTCAGGCCTGGCACCCAGCATGAAGAGAGGCAGATGGCATTGGGGTGGCTGGTTTTTATCCAGGTCCTTAGAGTTGCACCAGGTGTTAAAGAAACAAGGGGAAGGAGCTGGAGAGGTGACTCAGTAGTTATGAGCATTGGCTGCTCTTGCAGGGGACCCGGGTTTGAGTTCCAGCACTCACATGGTGGCTAACAACCATCCATAACTCCAGTTCCAGAGGAATTTAACTCCCTCTTCTGACCTTTGGTGCACATTGCACAACACAGGTGCACTTACACACATGCAGGCAATACACTCATATACACAAAATAGAAATAGTGAATAAAATAGTTAAAAAAGAAAGAAACAGGGGAAAGAGTTGCACTGTAGAGGAAAGGTAAGTACACTGAATAGAGGCTCATAGCCATGTGATTTCTGGAAGAAAAAGTTGGAGCAGGGCCTGGGCAAGTAAGGCTGGAGCAGTGGAGTGAAGGGTAAGGTGATGGAGGAAAAGAGGACCAGGCAGAGAGAACAGCTTGTGCTAAGGCCCTGGGCACATGCCGAGGAGCCAGAAGGAGCCCTAAGGTGTGGGGACAGATGAGAAAAGGGTATTCATAGCTCTGGGACAGCATAGTTGGCATCTCAAAGGGTTTAGGAGTCACAAGCAAGCAACTTGGTCAGATTCATCCATAAGTCAAAGAAGGGCATGTGGCATAATGCCACCCCACCCAGCTTGTAAGGAGAGAGGCCCTACCCTAGATGAGGCCTGCACTGCCCTCGATGCGCCTCTGACCACCCTGTCCCTCCACAGGGCTGTTTCATCTTCTCTCTTGTCAAGTATGTACCCCTGACCTACAACAAAGTCTACGTGTACCCTGATTGGGCCATTGGACTGGGCTGGAGCCTGGCTCTGGCCTCCATGGTGTGCATCCCATTGGTCATCGTCATCCGCCTCTGCCGGACGGAGGGACCGCTCCGTGTGGTAAGAATGGAACAGGGGTTGGGGGGGTGCGTGTACATGTAGGCAATGAGAGACAGAGAGCAGCCGCTTGCTGTCTATGTGACTTTAAGCCAGATGATTGCCCTCTTTGAGTCTCAGGCTTCCCTCACCTCATGGAAGATCTGGGCAGGAGTGCTTGTGGGTAAACAAGGGCACTAGTCATTTGTGTAGAAGGCTTTGTCATGACATTTAGAGTGGACCGGTAGGCTAAGGAGGAGTACGAGGGGAATGTGGTCATGGTGTGGGGCGTGCAGGGACAGTGGCCAGCCTAGAGAGGGAACAGCAGCTTCACATGCCAAGCTAAAGGGCATGGGGCCTCAGTTCTGAGTTAGGACAGGAGACGGCTCTAGAGAGGAAGCCCCGTCCCCCCACACATCCCCTGCGTTGGGGTATGTGACTACCTCTGTCCCAGTCCCAGCTGCTGTGCTTGCCTGTCTCCCCATGGGACCCCTCCCTGCCCCCAGTCTCTTCAGGAATTCTTCCTACACTGCCAGACTCCAGGCCTGGCAGGCCCCAGCTCTTTCCACGAAATCCCTTTCTCAGAATCTCCTTTAACCTCTGTGCCTGGGCAGGCTCCAAGGCCCCATGGTTTTGTTCTGCTTTTATTATTCTCTTTTTTAAAAAAATCTGGAGCCAGGATGTCCTGGGGCCCTGGCTCTCCGATGAGCTGGCCCAGGCTTCCTCCTCTGGAGGGGCCTGTGTTAGCTGGGGAGAGGGGAAGAGAGGAGGCGCGGAGCCAGAGGGGGATGTGTACTGATCTGTCTGAGCCAGGAAGGTCCCTGAGACTTTCTTAGAGTATCAGGGATTAGGGACAGGACCGCAGGCCCCCAGCATTCAGCCAGAGCTCTGAATGGCCCTTTCAAGCTGAACACCGGGACCTCAGGATAGACAGATGGCGACAGCTACTGCTCTGAGCCCTCTAGGTGGCCCCTAGTCCCCTCTTCCAACCCAGGCCCCCATCCTAGAGGTCCATTGCCACTCAGGCAGGAAAAGTTAGTTTAGCATGCGGGGGGCCTCTAGAGGACTGTTCTATTAGTCAGCATTTGAAGCAGTCTCACTATTGGTTGGCAGGGGGGACTACCAAGCGGGTCACTAACTTGAGGTCCCTCTAAAGCCCAACTTTATTTAGAGACAGAGTCTTACTCTATAGATCAGGCTGGCCTGGAATTAACTGTAGCCCAGGTTGGCCTCAGCCTCTCGAGTGCTAGGGTTACAGATAAAAGCCCCAATGACTAGCTTAAAGGCTGATTTTTAAGAGACCAGTCCCAGCCACATGCACAGGTTTGTTCAGGGTGAGGTGATAGGGGAGGAAGGTGCAATGAGGGAGGTCTCTAAGGGCACCTGTCCAATTCCCCAACTAGAGAGAGCTATAGCTCACCTGAGGCAGCAGACAGACACCCTACCACCTGTCTGTCTTTCCCTAAGTGCCCTTGGGACTCCACCTGCACAGGCGTCCAAGTGACCCCCTGGCTTTGAGCTAGCTTGTGGCACACATGAATCCTCCCTACTCCAGGGTTCCAGACCAGGCTGAGCTTCCCTGGTAGATGGAGCCCAGATAGCTGCCAGTGCCCCACCCCCACTTGTTTTTGTGTGGCCCATTGCTCTGATGCATGGTGAATAGGCAGAGTTGAAGACCAGCAGGTAGGCCATGAGGGTGAGGAGGGCTGAGTTCACTGTTCCACAGCCACTCTGAACTCCACCAGCTATTGGAAGGGTGTGGCCCAGAGTCACTGAGTTCTTGTGGTTTTCCAAGAGAATGTGAAAATATGGATTCTCAAGTGGAATAATGTCACTTTTAATAAGCAACATCTTTTTAGTCCCTCAGCTGTGCAGGGGAGAACCCAGGGCCTCATGCATGCTGGCTTCAAGCAGCTTTTCCCATTGTAATATGCCAGAGATGAACCTAAATGCCTAGAAAGAGGACTTTTTCTTTTCTTTTCTTTCTTTCTGTTTTTTTTTTTTTTTCAACTGCTGACCCATTTCAGCCTGAGTAGACACTTGGCAGGAGATGGGCAGCAGGAGATGGGAGCTATTTCCAGCTCTGCCAGTGACTTCCTGGACTCTTGGAGAGAGCTCTTCCTTCTTCCATCAGTCACCACACTGAGGGGCCCAAGCACCATGCCCAAAAGATCTGAGAACACTCCCACAGTCTCCTCTCTGAAAGACCTGGCCACAGTGGGCACTGAACCACAAGACCTCAGGCCTGTGGGAGAACCAGAATGGGGGGTCTGTGTGGAGGTGTCTCAGGAAGAGAGGAAGGTGGGAGCCTTCGGATAGTTGGTTACCCAACCTTAGGACATACGGAGCTACAGAGACATGGCTGCTTCAAAAGTCAGAGAAACCTGGGGGGAAGGAACCGCAGGGACACCTGTGTCAGCACCACAGGAGAAAGAAGTCTGCATGTGGGGTTTGTGAGTCCCCCATCCCTAAACATGTAGCCTTAACAGCCTCATTCCTAGGCCTGGCAAGATCTTGGAAGTGCCTTAGTTCAATAAGTTCATTTCTCAAATTGAGGCCTAGAAAGAGTGGCTGTTTGTGGGATGCCACATAGTAAGCACCCTTGGGTAGAGGTAGGTGGGAATGGAGACCCAGGAAAGGGGCCACCTTCAGCCTCTCCTGATCCCTCCCCAATTTCTTTCTGCAGAGAATCAAGTACCTGCTGACCCCCAGGGAACCCAATCGCTGGGCTGTGGAGCGTGAGGGAGCCACTCCCTTTAATTCTCACTCGGCCCTCACTATGAACGGTGTGCTCATGAAACCTAGCCACGTGATCGTGGAGACCATGATGTGAGGTCGGGGCCACGGGCTGGGGCGCCGCTTTCCTGCTGTTTACTAACGTTAGATTCTCATAGGACCAGGTTTACAGAGCTTTATATTTGCACTAGGATTTTTTTTTGTCACAGAAAATGTTACTCTGTGTGTGTGTGTGTGTGTGTGTGTGTGTGTGTGTGTGTGTATCATGTGTGTTTTGTTTTGATTTGGGGATATTTTGTACAAAAAGAAAACCCACAGGCCAATGTCCTGGGGAAAGAATGAACTTTCATATTGAATTCGATGTATTTTATGGGAACTTGGTAAATTTTTCTTTGTATTTTTTTTTACATATAATTATATATACTTAGAGACTGCCATATACTATTACCACTTGAATCAATCTTCTTGCCAGCAATAGATCTCATTTTCAAAAGCAATTCTTCGGTGCTTACGTAGCTGGCAGAAAGTTCTGCCCAAAAAAAGAAAGGAAGGAAGGAAGGAAGGAAGGAAGGAAGGAAGGAAGGAAGGAAGGAAAGAAGGAAAACAAATGTTGGGTGGACTTTTCCTATGATGGCTGATGCATCTTAAAGGTATAGTTCCTTCTGAACTGGTTCTTGTGGAAGAACAAAACCAAGGAGAAGGGGCCCCAATAGCCTCTGAACAGACCTGAGGGGCAGGAGGGAGCAAGACTGTGGAGACCCCCTCACTCTTTGTCTCAACCAATAAGAAAGATGCCAAAATGATAACCCTGCCCTGAAGGATCAACTCCAAGAGAAGCCGAAGCTATCGCACCAGGGCCAATATCCCACCTTTTATCTTGAGATGGAGGGTGGATAGTCAGTGGGACTGTTTGAACCACAGTGGGACTCAGAACAGTGAGAAGGCTGGTAAGAATGGGACTCAGGTCTGGGAGCCTCCAGAGGCTTGAAAGAGGTAATGGGGCATTCAATGGTAGAGACCTGAGGCCAACCATATAGCTGGGGCTTTGGAATCAGTATAACACACAGGAAGGCCTGTTGTATTTAAGTGGTGGCATAGCTGGTGGGCTCAGGGCATTCCACAAGCAGAATGCATGTAGTGATGAGGGCCAGGTAGGAGGCCAGTGGACCAAAGGATACAGCAGTTCAAGAGTATGGGTGTACTCAGCTGGCGAGCATACCCCAGGAAGGGCACTTTTCTTTCTTGCCTCTTGACAAACTCTTGCTAAAGATGCCACTCCAGAGCCACCCAGCACTCAGCAGGGAATGCTGAGTGGCTCTTGAGGTTGGATCTTGGATTCAAGTTCAGGCACACAGCTAACTTGTTTCTAAGCCACTGCAGTAGCTATGGACAGGCATTCCTCCCTAGGGACAAAGAAAAGGCAAAAGAAAGCTTTGTAGATAGAGGTTGTCACAGAGGCTGACATCCCAGAGGTTAGGCTGGTTGGTACCTGAGAGTTGGCTGACCAAGGTTCAGTCAGGACTGTTCGCTGGACCAGGAGAGGGCACTACACCTTTACAGTGCACAGCACAGTCATACCTCCACCCCAGCTTCTGCTGGGCCCAGCCGTGCCACCTGAACTGTCACTTCCAGGTTCATAGTGGAAGCAAAACATGAACATTGTCACGCACAAAGACAGGGACTGCCTGCAGGGTTGTGCAGAGTGGAGTCTGGCTTTAGCTTTCCAGAGCTGGGGCGCTCAGAATCCTGGAACCCCTCCCTCTCAGGTATGGGGGTCGGGGAGTCTTTGGTTTCCCCTGAAGGGGCAATTCTGAACCTCTTGTCTTTGACAAGTATGCACATTTTCCTGTCTCTGAAGCTCTGTACTCTGCCAAGTGGCCCTCTAGTCCTCTTCCAGCAAGTGGTTGTTGATTCAGCCACCCCTGATTCTATGTGTTCCTAGTTTCCTGTGTATTTATGGTCACTTTCGTGTTGATTTGAGTGTTGTTTGTTCCCCCCCAATTTTACAAAGTTGCTGTGTGACCTGTTTTTCTTTTGTCTTATGGAACTTTAGTAAAGTAACCACTGTGGGTGATTGAACCCAGGTGACATGTATGGGAGAGGGGGCTTGGTCAGCTGCGGCAGCCTGAACTTGTGGTTATGCCAATCTATGCTTCCCTCTCAGGCAAGCCTTCAGTATTTTAGGTTGATGGACACCATTCTGGAACAGGGCCTGAGGAAGGCCTCCTCATCATTCCCAGATCAAATTCTACACCAAAGACACAAGCAGACCAAGTCCCCAGGTCCCGCCTAGATGGAAGGTCAGCCGCTCCCCAAGCCCACTCCCCCACAGTGTTCCCACCTGTCTTCGATCCCAGTCCCTTCCACCCAGTCCCTGGCCCTGACACATTGTTGTGATGCTTGTCTTTCCATGTCTGCATGTAAGTAACATTTTTGAAGTAGAGCTCATGACTCTGGTCCACCTGCCCCTTGGAGAGAGGGCCAAGCTGTCCACCCATGCTTGCCTGGGACAGGCCAGATTCTGACACCCACATGTAGCCCTGCCTGCCACACCTGGTGAACAGCATGGAAGGCCACTGAGGGCCCCCATCCAATGCACTAGCTGTAAACAGGGAAACTGAGGCCTAGGGCAGGGGAGACTCTGGTATTACAAGCTGTGAGTGGAACCTGGCACTGCAAGTCAGCTGTAGCTACAGGTTCTCCAGGGTGTGGGCAGTGAGTAAGGAGGACCAGGATGATGCCCCTCTCCCCCATCACCTTTCCTGATAACCAAAGTTCAGACTGATCAGGGTCCCCTACCCACTGCTCAGGGCACAGACAGCAGCATGCCACTCTCTGCCCATCCTCACTCCAGCCCACACTGCCCTCTCTTCCTCCCCAAACTCCCTGGGAGCTAGAAATTGAGACCCCTACCTGCACCACAAGAAACAGGCCTGGGCTTCGGCAGGGTGTAAGGACAGGCCTGTGGCCTCCGTGCAGTCTTTAGGCCATGCCAGAAGCAGCCTGAGAGGACTTCCCTCTTAGGAAGATCATGAGGAGTGCTTCCTCTGGGCCTCTGGCCCTAGTCCCCACCCCAGCTCCCTAACACATCCTACAAGACTATGGTGAAGCCAGGGGAGAGCAGCATGTGTCCCCTCTGTCCAGCAGGGGGCACTCTGTATCACGGAGCAGTGATACAAAAAACGCCATGGTCCACCGCATTCCAGCCCTGGGTCTCCTGATGGAGCAGTGCTCCTGCAGCCAGTCTACACAGTCCAAGGGCAGAAGCAGTGTCCGCTCTCCAAGACACAGACACAAGCCAGGAAGGCACCCAAGAAAAAGCCCCTCATGGCCCCAACCAGCTCTGAGACCCTATCCCTACGAATGCTGTAAATACCTCTGTGTGCACAGACCCCACCTCCCCAGTGAAGTCCAAACCACACACAAAACAAAGCCCAGATACCCCAGGGTGGACAGGGGGCATTGGAAGCCAAAAGCCACACTCCCACCTCCTCTCCTTCCAGCTGACCCCTCAGTAGTCTGGTTCCACAGGAAGCTGGTTTTCAATGTTCTCTGGGGAGGGGGCATCACCACAGGCATGCTTTGGCCTGTTCCCCAAAGGACAGAGCATCTTGTTATGTATTTGGCTTAAAAATGAGATGATAGCTCCATTTAAAAACAAAAAACAAAAAACAATCTTTCCAATTCCTAACTGTGACTGTATTTAGCACAAGAGAAAAGCTGAGAACCTGGGGTTTGCCGCCTTCAGAAAGATGTCTGGGTCATCAGGACATTTTTTAAAACTTTGAAATATTTTTAAGATATTTTAAACTTTTGTAAAAAACAAAAAACAAAACAAAAAAAAAAAAGGAAAGAAAACTTGAAACCAACCGACAGGGGGAGGAGGGAGGAATATTCATATTTGAAGGATCCTTGGCCTGTAATTCAGTCTCGCAGTATACAAGCTCTGTGTATTGATGTTTCATGATATGGACCCTGTATTTTGCAGGGCTTTGTCTTTTTTCTCTTTTGCTTTTTAGATGAGTATGTATATTCATATTTTAAATTCATCTTTGCTTTTTTTAGAGGAGTTTATAATCACCTTGTAACACAACAATAAACATTTCCTTTTTAAAATCCAAGAATGTGTGGTGTGTTTTGGCATAGCAGGTTTGCCTCTGCTTTGGCAAGCTCTTTACAGTTTATAAGGGGCCTTCACTGGGGAGCTCTTGCTTATCTTCCAGAGGACCTGAGTTCAATTCCCAGCACCCAAGTCAGGCTGCTCACAACCAACTATAACTCTAGCTCTAGGAGATCTGATGCCCTCTTCTGGTCTCCACACCCAGGTAGCATATAGACACACATATACACATAAATAAAAATAAATCTTTAAACAAAAAGGCCTTTAGTTCAACCTTGGATGGTCCTCAAAGGGGCTAAATACCCCTTATCCGAAGTGCTTGGGAATAGAGCTGAAATCTTAGAGAATTTTCATATGCAGAGTGATCTGCCTTGGCAGTGAGGCCCATGGCTAAACACAAAATCCCGTTGTTAAAATGCATTATCTGCACAGCCTGGAGATAGTTGTGTATGACATTTTTAGCCCACATGTGTGGTGTGTATTCATGCACATGGAGGCCAAAGTCCGACCCCAGGCGCCCTTCCTCAGCAGCCATCATATTGTGTTTTGTTTATGTTTGGTTTTGTTTTTTGAGACAGGGTCTCACTATGCAGCTCTGGCTGGCCTAGAACCAGCTATGTAGACCAGGCTGGTCTCACAGGGATCTGCTTGCCTCTGCCTCATGAGTTCTGGGATTAGCCTCTTAGGCCACCACACTCAACCTTCACACTCTTTTTGATGGCCTCTATCTGCCTCTGTCCCTCCATGTGTCTTGGCTGTTTGGCTTGTGTTCAGATCCCGGCTTCATCCCATGTGCCTTCAAGCAAGTTACTTAGCCTCGCTGTGCCTTGGTTCCCCCTCTATAATATAGTAATTATACAATCCACCTCTGAAGGCTGGGAGGATCCCACAGTTCTTACAAAGTGTTTAGAACAGTGCTTTGCACGTGGGCTATGTGAATGATACCCTTACTCTTACCTGTTTACTACTCCCACTCCCCAAGACAGTGAGTTGACATCCTCACAGAGCTGCAAGTCCCCACCAACCGCAACTCATGGTGGCTGACCCCACTCTCTGGACCCCAGAACCAGCCAGGCTCACCTTGCCCTGGTGCCCTCTGGAGATGTGGGTGCAGTAGCCAGACTTCCAGGCTACCCACCTGGCCCCCTCTCCACCAAGGCTGAAGAGGTTCTAACCACCTCCCTTGCACAGACCAAGAGCCACCCCACCTCAGTCTAGTTTCCAGTGTCCTATCCTTTGTGGGCCCTAGAACCTGCCAAGTTCATTCATACTACAGGGCCTTTGCATTTGTGCCCCCAGCCTGGAACACTTCCTCCAGCTCACTACAGGGCTGGCTCCTGTCCTGTAGTTCTTATTGTGGATGTCACCCCAGAGACGCCCTTCTGGGCTGCCATCCTCAGCCCAGCCACTCTGTTCAATAGGTAGTTTTCTTCATTGCCCTTTGTGCCTTCTGAGGCAACTCTTTATGACACGGTCTTCATTACAATGTGTGGATAGGACCTCTGTCCGTCTGCTTAGGTTGTATGTTCAGAGGGCCATGTGATGTGGGGCAAACAGTCAACTTTTGGAATGAATCAGTGAATGAACGAATGCCAGCCTATTGTTTTTTAAAAAGCAAACAACCTACTCAGTGCATTGAACTGATTTTATTAGAAATTCATCCCAGGAGCACTCACTTCCCCCACTCACTGTGATGCCTGGTGGGACAAAGATTTACATGTGGACCCCAGACAGACCAGGAACAGTCTGTACAACGGAGCCGTGGGTGGGTTGTGCTTCCCAGGAACCCTAAGAAAACCCACGTAGAAAAATACTTTACAAGGAATATGTTCTAACTCAGCCAGAGAAAAATACAGCTCTGGGGTGGGGGATGAGTCACAGGGAACATTCTCAAAATGCATAGGCAGGCAGGACACCGGCTGGGGTGGGGGCAGGGGATGTCAGTGTGGGATGAACACCCCCCAGGAAGAGCCAGGGGGGCTATTGCATATGAGGCCACTGGCCATGGCCAGGAGGTCCACCCGCTTGGCCATGTTGCATATGTCTTGAAGGATGGCAGAGCCTCAGCCCAAGGGAAGGGAAGGGGTTGAGTGCTTGCAGTTTCCCAGCCTGGAGTCCTTGAATGAAATGAAGATTTCCCAAGCCTAGAGGCCCTGAGAGTCCAGTTCACACATACCGGAAGCCCAGGGAAGCTGAGCCAACTGCCTAAGGTCACACAGCAGCAGCTTCTGGCAGCCAGGAGTTACCTTTCTATTATGCCATTCTCCTGCCCTCAAAGCTGAGGGTTTTGGCTTCTGTTTGGTGCCCTGATGGGTGGGCAATGCCCTTTTACCCTGGGGCGATGAAAACACAGGTGCTAGGTAACATGGACCCAGGCACCAAGGACCCAGAGAAGCCCTCATGAGGGGCAGGGACGCAAAGGAGAGGAAGAGCTGAGGTGGAGATAGCCCTGTATCTTCTCAAACCCACCTGACTGTCCAGAGGGGGAATATGACTCAGGGGGGATAACACAGTCAAGCAAGGAGTCAGGGGGATAGGGCGGTTTCTCCCTCCATTTGTTCTCTTGAGAATGATGTGCTTTTCTGTCCTAAGTTGCAAGGGCAGAGGGGGGGGTAGGGTAGGAGTGGAGGCCCCCGTTTCCTTGAGACCTTGAACTGGGCAGAGCCAGTCCCCAGATCAGCCCAGACCACCAGGAGGAGACTTGTGCCTTGTTCAAAGCTGAAAGAATCCTGCTCTCTAGAGACAGAGAAAACCTGCGTTAAGGGGTGCCGACACCTCCAGCTATAAAGTGGGAGCTTCCTTGGATGGCCCTTTTGGACGCTGTTCCCTCTTGTTCTTCAGCTGGTCTGTCTCCAGCTCAGCTTCTCTCTTTCTCCCATCCCCCTCCTGCCCCCTTGAGGTCATTGGCAGAGCTGTATCACCTGGTGCCTCTAATTGCTTCCATGGTTTTCCATCTTTGTTGGAATGGCAGGTGAATGGATGCTCTTGGGCCTTTCATCCCCAGGTAGTACTCTCCTATGAAGGGGACCTGGGCTGAGGGGGTGTGTGTAGCAGGAGGGTTGATGGCCACAGCCCTGCTCCGGGGTCCAGAACCACTGACCTAAAGAAAGGGGCCATCATTTTCTGGCACTCTAGATGCCCTGCTCAGGGTCTCCCAGTGGGGATGCTGGAAGCCAGAGACTCTCAGAACACCAGGACTCTGGAAGAAGGAGGGTACTGCTTCTGCTGTGCCATAGCCTTCCTGGTGTCAGGAGCCCTGTGTGATTTTGCTCTGCCTGTGTAGCTGCTTATCACTGAATGTCTCCTGCTGGAGTCCAGTCCAACTCCTGCTTGTTCACCTCCTGGGATGGGGAGCTCACTCCTCACTGGCAGTTCATTCCAGCTCCCACACTGAGCGGGACTGATCCCACTCCTGGTGCCACTCTGCAGTGACCCTACAGGAATATGAGGAAATCCCAGCCTCTCTCCTGGCTGAACAGCAAAACTGACTCTTTTTGGGAGGGGTCCCTCAGAGCACCTTGGAGATCCAACTTGAAGATGCCACTCTGTCCCAGGTGTGGAATCTGCAGACTCACAGTAGATGAGTGGGGGCCACTCCTCCAACTGAGCTGATTTCAAAGCATCCGGGGACTGCTGGGACCTGGTGCTCGGGGGGTCCGGCGGCTTTGTGCCAGTGGGTTGCGGCTGACGACAAGTTCTAGGATGTCCCCTGCCTCTGCCAGGAGCGGGACGGCCAGGCAACAGTCGAAGTCCCGAGTACGAACGTGATTGACCTGCACAGTAAGCACATAGCAGAGGGACAGAGTCCTTGTAAACAAAAGTTCCAGAGGAGAGCTTCAATTGTGGAGAAGTTGGGATGTTGTAGGATCCAGAGCCCAGTTACTATGGGTCCTATGAATAGCCATTCTTTGCTCATGTCTGTGTCTGACCTCACATCTCTGCAACTGTCAAGGGAAGCCTCTTGGGATGTATTAACAGACCACTAGCTTCCACCAACTCAAAAGCTAAGAATGTTGTCAGAACCCTATAGCAGAGATTTCCATGCTTTGCTGTAACCTGCCTACCTGATGTTTCCACCAATGCATTTAAAAACTGCATCGATTTATGACTTTCTTTGCTCCATTGCTATGAAAGCCTCGTGAAACTGTTATCACATTGGACTGTGGTATTTAGGACAACTTGAATCGGTGTTCCCGGCCATCACTACTCTTATTTGGCTCCAGAATAAACTCTCATCCCCTTTGAGGTGAGAGCTGTGTTTTGTTTTCTGTTGGCACTTTGACAGGTGTCATTTCAGGTATGATTTCCTGAAATGTGGTACTGCTCTTGTCCAGACATAGGGGCATCTGATGCTCACACAGGGAGGAAGCCACTCTTCATTCTTTTCTAGTCCTTGTCATCAAACAAAAATTCTGTATTACCTGCAGGAGCCTGTCAAAGGGCCGCAGTCCTCCACGCTGGGCTGGCCCATCCACACGCACAGTGTGGACATAGACACCCTTCTCCAGGAGTCCATCTGAGACACTGAAGCCAAAGTCATTCCGCACTGGGTCCTTGTGCAGGGTCACCTGGGGAGAGGAGAGGGTGACTTTTGCCCCAACTCCCACTGTGTCCCTGGAATCCAGACCGAGCTTGCTGGCCTGCTACACCCCAGGCTATCCTCAGCTGCCTGCTGGGCCTATGCCCAGTGGCATGCTCCTTGCCATGAGCATCCTGCAGGTCCCAGTGTTCAGGCACTGTGGGGTCCTTTAGAAAGATAAGCAAATAAATACTCGGCTTTGGCCACCCTGGGTGAACCCTTGTCTGGAGGTGTGACCTGCTATCTTGGTTCTTATAGATCTACATACAACTGGCAAGAGATGCCTCAGGCCCTGGTGGGGAAAGGTGGTATCTGTCATTTGCCTATACAGTGACAGGCAGAGTAGTCTCTGCAGGGGACCAGCGCTGAGCCCTGTGTTCAATGTCATGGGATGTGCACAGAACCTGTACACGTCCTCCTGTGTGCTTGTCGTCTCCAGAGGACTTCTGAGACCAAATTCAAAGTCAGTGTTAAGTAGATGGTTTACTCTGCATTGCTCAGGGAATGGTGTCCAAAGTCGGCCCTTATATAGGTTGTTTTTCCTGAATATGTTTGTGCTATGATTGGCTGACTGAATGCAGAACCTGTAGGGAGGGAGGGTTAACTGTTTAGACACATTTCCATACAGGTAATGTAACCTTTATGTATGTGTATATGAGCTTGTAAACATAAATACTTGTATAGCCCTGGATATGTGTAGAGATAACAAGTTTACGTAAAGAAACGTGACTTGCATATCACAAGTATGCACATGGGATATGTGAGGGCATAATTACTCAAGTGATGAGTCCTGGCAAATGTAACCTAGAACAAAACTCTGTCTTGTGATGGAGAATAAAACCCAAAGTGGTGGGGATCCCAGAATCCCAAGCAGGTCCTCCTGGCACCAGGCCTCAGATCCAGTCCTCCCCCTGGTGCTCACCCCTAGTGCCTGCTCTTGGCCCCTGCCCCTGGCACCCACCCTGTGCATCTCCAGGGGCGTCGGCAGCATCAGCTCCTGCAGGTCTTCAGGGGATGCTTGGACCTCCCGGCTCCTGTGCCAGGGCCGGGAGCCAGGCCTGCCATCCTGGGCCACACTCTGCACAGTGCCTGTCATGATGGAGGCCTGTGGGGACAGAGCTGTCACTGATGTCCACTCACTCCCTCCATCAGGCTGTCAAGCAGCCATCAGGTCACATGGGTAACAGAGCATGCCGTCCCCCACACCCCCTACCCAGGGTAACCAATCACAGGATCTGAACAAAAGCCTGGCGATCAGACATGAGCCCTTTTTTTCTGTTTTACAGACAAGCAAACAGGCTTAGTGGGAGGATGTGAACTCAGAGTGTGGCTCCACAGTCAGAGCTCTGAGCCTCGCAGCTCAGACCAGAACATGGAAAGAGAGAGCCTAGGACAAGGAGAGGTGTCAGTGACACCTCCAAAGCTGAGCTCTGAAAGGAGAGGAGGGAATGGGGCAAGAGTGTCACCGGAAGAGGGCATGCTTCAAAACTGCATTATGGGGAAGCCACATGGCTAGGCACAGGGGCAAGGGGTGGGGGCATGGGATGAACCTAGAGGGCAAGGGTCTTACAGCCCCCTAGACCCTACAGCAAGGATATGGACTTTTTACAAAAGGGAAATCCTGGAGAATGTAATTGGTGGAGAAGGTAACATGAACAAATATGTGGATTTAGGGGGGATGAAGGGTGAGATGGACCTGGTGGGAGCATAGAGTTGTCCAGCCAAAAGAAAAAGGGCTGTGGGTGGGCTGAGGTGAGGGGCAGAGTCAGAAGTGGCCAGCACAGGAGCTGAGAGTAGCATCACATTCAGACAGCCACAGACCACATGGGTGGGGATGCAGAGGTACTAGGATGGGAAGACAGAACTCTTCTATGTGCTATTCAGTTTCCTAGGTACACAGGTATCTCTCCGGCCTAGAAATTTCTCTCTTTGTGTCCATCATGGTATCTGAGTTTCTACAGTGTCTAGTTCTGGCACTGCTATTCCTCCCAGGGGAAGGCAGACTTTGGAAGCAATTGTCTGAAGGCCAGCCATGCTGTCAGGAAGGAGAGGAGGAGGGAGACAGGAGCACAGAGAAGACCTCAGAAGAGTAGGCACAGGTGCCTTTTGCATACCTTACAACTGGTCCTCACCTCCCAGAGAGTCAGAGTCCAGCAGGAAAGATCAGAGACTAGTGATCTTGGAGTAAGATAGTCATTAGCCAGGAGAAGGCTGAGAAGATGACTCAGTGGGAAAAGTGCTTTACACACAAGCATGAGGACCTGAGGGTTCTTAGAGCCGATGTCAAAACTGGGCATGGCAGTGTGCATCTGTAATCTCAGAACTGGAGGATGGAGGGGATGAAGAGATGGTTCAGCAGTTAAGAGCACTGGCTGTTCTTACAGAGGACCAGAGCTCAGTTCCCAGCATTCGCATGACAGCTAACAAATCATCAGTAACTCCAGTTCCAGGGGATCTGATGCCCTCTTCTGACCTCCATGGGCATTGCATACATGTGGTGCACATACATACATGCTGGTAAAATACTTGTACACATAAAATAAAAGTAAGTAAGTCGCTCCTAGCCTGCACTACTATCCTCAGGCCTCTTGGGGTAAGTCTACAGCGCAGCTCTCCACGCCGGGACTCCCTAAGCCTCATTCACCCTTCCATCCCCCCCCCTCGCCATTCTATACTCCTAGTTTGAGCCCTGAGCCACCCCTAGTCTTGGGGCCCCAGACACCTGGGGAACCAATACTTCTTCCTGACCCTTCTCACCCAGAGCAACGCAGTCCCTTTCTTGGGCTTCAGGAGCACCACTTCTGGTCCTGGCCCCGCCCTCACCTCTCGCTGGTTCCCTGGGCCTGCACCACCAGCTAACTCTCCTAGCCTGCACTACTATCCTCAGGCCTCTTGGGGTAAGTCTATAACGCAGCTCTCTGCGCCGGGACTCCCTAAGCCACATTCACCCTTCCATCCCCCCCGCCTCGCCCTTCTATACTCCTAGTTTTAGCCCTGCGCCATTCCTAGTCTTGGGGCCCCAGACACCTGGGGAACCAATACTGCTTCCTGACCCTTCTCACCCAGAGCAACCCACTC